GCGAAATATGTAACAATTCGACAATCAAACTGGTAGATGATCTCTCACCATCCATAGCCCGTGGTATAACCGTCTCACCCTTATCGGGAAATATTCCCCACCCCCCTTTATTCTAATACAAATCCCAAGAGTACCCATACCATTCGCGATCCCAGACACATAACAGAGGTATACTCTTAAAAGTATATTAAATACCACCACTAGCACAAATTCTTATGTTTGGGGGGTGTGGCGGTGTGCGGTGCGTGTGGGGTGTGTGTGTGTGCTGTTGCGGTTCGCGCTCGCTCCGTGTGCTTCTGTGTGTACGCGTGTCAGCGTGAACCCTTAAGAACTCAACCTAAACTGCCACATATGACCAGTTAGTTCTGAGACCGGTCCACTTAGAGAACGAATGCCCAGACTATAAGAGTTCGACAACCAACTCTCGCATCTGTTGAAGGCACCCGAAGCTGACTGCGTAGCAATCAGGTGTGAGGCCGGTTGGCTACACTAGCAAAAACAGATAGCCGGCCGGTCAATTGCCATCGAACGTCCTATCAAGAACTAAATACTACATAACCTACTGTCACGACGTCTATACAGGCAACTCCAGGGGACCAACTTTATAACCCAAACTAACTGTGACCCTCAACACAAGAACCGAAGCGCTGACTATCCGTCGGTAACACATTGGACGTTCTGGCTGTCGTCCCCGAAGTGAAGCATCCACTCCTATAAGTCCAGCATGCCTTTACAACTGCTGATGACAACGCGCAGGGACGTAGGCGTTCAGACGGAACCGTGCGTCCACCACCTCATCAGCTCCATTCTTTTCAGAACGTCGGAAACCGCTTAATTATAAGTTGACTTTACACCGAAAATAAAAGTTCATTGATTAAACTGAACCGGCAAATAATATTTGCGCGGATGAGGCAAAAAGGATTTGACGACTTACTTTTTACATCAAGTACCTAACCGGAACAGTCTCACGCAGACGTGACTTCAAATAAACTTTAATGTAAACTCAGCAGCAACGCAAACCATTAGGTTAAAAGTCGTCCTAGTTCGATATATTAAGGCTTGATGTGCAGAAAATGAACTTGACAGGAAAAAACACAATAAACAATTAGCTTCTACAGGTAAAAGAAGGTAATATTACTCAGAAAAACGGACCTATTTTACACGCAGTGTAAAGAAAAAAGAAATAATAAGCGCTAAAACAAACGAGTCCCAAGCGCTCTTACAAACAAAACCGTACCATTCTAAGTGACTAACGAGGTAACGAGTCACTATAAAGGTAATCCCAGTTACCCGTACAGTTTGGGATACAATACTGGGTCTCCCACTTATTGGACGGATGACCACCTACGCTAAGTCAGTTAATGTGACTCTAAACACCAGTCCTTGACTGTACGACATTGTTTCAAGAGGGTTCGTACTGACTTGAGCCAAACCGAACGACGGCAAATTTTACCTGGATCACCGGAGGTGACGACCGGGACCCCGGACTATAATGTCTCGTCACTGTGAGGATCCACGCTCGCGGTAACGGAGCATCGCGCTTACTATCAACATACCCTACCCGGAGTAGTAAACAACTGACACAGCGCCTCTCTATCACAATGATCAAGCAGCGGTTACCACCGACGCGACGGACGGTAAATGAGGCGGAACCTATATACCCAAATAAAAAATGGAGGATCTACTAAGTCGGAACAGCAGTCTTGCACACCCTGTACCAGCTACCGTAAAGTTAACCGAAAGCCACCTTTTACGCATAGAGCTCGCCTAATATTCTACGTCGGCCATAGGACCAATTACCAACACTTTAATAAAATTTGTCTACACATACCACAGAATAACCTGACACTACCGGAAGAGCCGGGACAGCACACTAAAACAAAGCGGCGCGAGATCTAAGTCCGGGTCATACGAGCAACACCCCTCTCTAATACACCGCGCGACATGCACATACACCGATACACAGAGCAATAGGTGGCTAACGCGGGTTCTAATCCTGGTTATTACTTATTTGAGATGTAGCCTACAAACTCTTCGTGCTGACGGCGCTCGTGTTACTGTACGCTACTTCGTCATGACCTCTTGAAGTATAGCGCACGTCCATACCATGAGACATACACGAACAACATCCTCTCAACATGAACTACATACCTCTTTTCACTATTATATTACCTCGACATAGTGAAACATAACAACCAAATACACGCAGGCACTGACTACCCACTCTGCCAACAATTGATCTCTAGTGTAATCGATATGCGCGGCGAGATTCAGCAACAATTCTCTTCGGCCTACTTCTCCACTATCACTCGCCTGCATGATCGGGACAAATTTAAAACGAATTCGTGGGCGGACACAGCATGGTGACCTTCACTGTGGCCTCCTTAACATTCTCACCCGAAGTGGCGCTTGTATCGACGGGGCATGAATACATCCGTACCCGCACTTAGAGGAGCGCGTTTATATACCAACAGAACACACCTATCAATATCAACATTTCTCCCGGTATTTCCGGACAAGCGCTCGTCTCACCTTTCAAGTAGACCAATACAGATACGACGAGACGGTGTTAACTAGAGCGGACCCCGTGCGAGTCGAAGCGAGGGAAGGGGAAGGAAGGTGAGCTGACATTATAGAGTGCGGGACTCGGGCCGTGAGCGTTACCACAATAGTTTTTCCCATGACGATGCCGCTCCAATGATATAGATCCAAAGGGACTACGATCTTAAAGCGTGCGCGAGGGTGTTTACCCGAACTGTAACCTCTTGTATCAAAGAGAGATTTATACCAGCACCACAATAAGAATTACCGAGAACTGGAATGCCTGGAAATCGTTCGACATAGGAAAGAGGAGAAAACTTGCCCTATCGGAAAAGAGAGAGCTCTACACTTAGTATTAGAAGAAAGAGCGTTTATTTTACATCGCGTTTCGAAAAACAGACTTGCGCACACCACCACACGGAGGAGTTCTCTCGCCAGAGTTCCTCTCTATCATCACCCTTACCGATCCAGAACAAAGTGTAGATCAGGGATGAACATTGTGTGAACTACCAGAGTTGTGGTCCTTAAAAGATATTCTGTAATCGCACACGGGCAGGTACTCGCCCGTTGGACGGGAACGGATGGGGACTGGTTCTGATGTTCGCAAGTATATAAACTGCGGGGTGGTGGCACTACTTGATGGTACTCTGTCGTACAGTGAGTACAATGGCCCAGTTCTAACCCGACTAAATCCGGAGGGCCTACTTAATTGTCTTGTCATGGACATTTCGTCTCTCGCGTGCGTAGCTCCCCGAGTCTGCGCATTCTGTAAACTGCTCTACCACGTGAGGTTCGCAGAGGTGTATACAGTAAGAGGACTCGGTGTTTACGCTTGCCTAGTACACAACACAAAGCCACACGGATGATGACTGACTAACTAATCAACACAAAGAAAAGAACACGGCTGAGCAAAAGGGCACGCGCGGAAAATCGCTATTTGCTAACTCAACGTACTCTCATTGTATGAAGAAGCTGTCCCGTACTAAATAACTCACATAGTACAATAACAATCACAACACCACAGTATAGTCCCATACATTCACAAACATCACCCAAATCTTGTCAAGGACCATGTTTAATGACTGCTACGAGAACTCACAAAAGACCGGCTCAGAAGAATAAATAAATTCAAATAATGTTACGTTACGACTATTTCGCGTCGTTACCAGCTCTATGTGAAAGTTAAAACTGACATTCCACTTTACATGAAGACATCTTTACTATAACTACTACCACACTGAATGTTTGTGATTTTTGATAACACCTTCGCTTACTCGACCAGTCCCAGTAACTGCTAAACTTCGACGATACGCAGCATAGACGTTAAAACTCGTTCGTTGAATTCAGATACGACGCACTTACAAATCTGAAGATCAAAACCTAAGACATGTAGTCCTTCCGGCAACCAAAACCATAGATCCTTGCTTACATACCTAACACATACGAACGCGTTAGGGAAACGGGCACAACCCGCTGGGGAGCGGGGAGGGGGAACGACGACCGCACGAGGCACGGAACGACACGGAGACAGTCCATGACCCTCACAGCAGCGTTGGCAAATGCCGCACCTATATTCATGCCTTGGTGAATTATTCTTAATCTTTACACAATGTAGACTGCAACATACAGTTTTATACATATCCCGCATATGGTTCCAACCATATCTTATACACAGGGGTATCAAATTGACTCGTCCCCCACAGAACGACACAACCAAGAACAGGGCTTCCCCCACCCACTGATTGTCCCTGTCTGGACTTTGGGAGGAACAACGTATCGATGCACAAGCTCCACAGTGTCACCGCGGCGCGGTCGTAGTATAAATGCCGAACAGTTTCCTGACTGCTCGAGTGGGTCAACCGACCTGAATGGCAAAAAGAGGATGAGGGTTGGACTCAGTCTAAGTTCAGAGACAGGTGCCTGGGCTCAAATTTCCCCTGGTGAAAGATCAGGCCTGCCACTCTCCCCAAGGCTGCTGTCACACACACATCAAATCACAGTCATATACACATACCCCCACGCCTAATGCATGCATCCATGTAAAGCCCCAAACAGGTCATGGCAGCAATGACTTTCAATTCATTCTGCCTTTAAATCGCACTTAAATTCCTTTAACTCCGATGCTTAAGCTATCTCAACACAGTTAACACCGCTAGGCCATTAACAGCCAACAGGTGCTACAAAACATTAACAAGAGTATTCACTGTACTCTCACCTTCAGGGCTTGGGGGGGATTATATGATCTGGTGCTGTATGAAACATACCACACACAGAGCATCAGCCTGATATATACATTATACAAAAATATGGGTCACATAAAAATAAACAATTTATTTTTCGGAATTAGTTTACAAGATTCAACCGGATTTAGAGGAACTGAATGAAAGGTAACAAACATAATGGCAACAGATCTATTTGAACTGGATTGTATATTTTTAAAACCGTCCAAAATGATTTACCCAGAACTTGACGAGAAAGAAAGCGTTAGGTGGCCCTTTGTCAAACAGCTCCTTCAGGCCTCCTTTCTTCTCTGGGAACTTATCGTAGATCTGTCGGACGTCCACGGACTCTAGATAGGCGTCGCTGTAGCTCGGGTTGGACTGACCAATGTGCACAAACAGGTGCTTGTTGAACTGCGGAGACAAAAGTGCATAACAGGAGATGAACAGAGCCAAAAAGGACAAATGTCCAGTTTGCTCAATTGCACTCCATGCATATTTCTCCCATTGGGCCTGCTGTTCCACTGAATCATAGTCATTGTAAAATCCCATCAGCTGTCTCAAGGGTTCCACCCTTGTTCTCCACAGGACCATTCATGATCATGTGCTGTGATTGTTTGTATATTTTTCATGTGTAAATACAAATGATCCTGTGATCTTTGTGAGGTGCTGAGTAAGGTACATATCCTAAATAATGTTAACAGTAAATGTTTTGGTGCCCTTGTTCTGATCACACCCATCTTCTTCTGTCTACTCACATTTTCCGGGTCCTGAGGTTGCTCCAGGAAGGCAGAGAACTCCAGCATCCGCAGCTTGGAGCCGGCAATACTTCTACCCTGCCAAGGGGGGGCACCAGGAGACATTGACAGCCCGGCTGTGCTTTCATAACCTGCAGCCAAGAGGGCAGTGAGTGCTTAAAATGTGCAACAATTAGAAAACCTACAAAGAAAATGTGGCGATATTGCAGCAATTTCACTGCACTTTGTGCAAGCTCTTCATCACGAGCCGGGTGTTCTCATCACTTTGCCGGCATGACAGCCCTCTGTCAACACAGCAGGGTGGAGAAGGAGAACCCACCTGTTATAGGGGTCGGGCCGGACGCTTGCATGGCGTAACTCTGCTGGGAGAAGGGCTTAATGCTGGAGAGAAGAGACAGACAAAAGGGAGAGGCACGTTATGCAAGGCCTCGGCCTTATGACCCCACCTCACACACTAATTGGACCGCCTGACCTCCATAGACTCAGGGGGCAGAGTGGTATGCTGAATGGTAGACAGCTGAAGACTTTTCTCTATAATTATGGTGATGTGTTTTAATTCATTAATAGATTAAGAGCCTGTCTGAAATTGCTCTGATTATTATTAAGATGTTCAAGATAAATTACTGCTAGATACTGTAGCACTACAGAGTGGGGGAAAAAAGGGATACTCACTCTTCGTGTCCTCCTGGCTGCCCTGAAAGTCCCCCGTGCCAGAACTGGGAAGCAAAGGAAGTACAAACTCTTACACAGTTCCACCTTTAAACAAAATATTAGACATACACTTGGTTGAGCTTGTTTTGATTTTCAAAACAGAAGCACAGAGCTGAGGTGTTCCTTATTACAGGAAAATCCAACAAATGCGTTTAAAAGAACACAAATAGTAAGGTGAAGCAGACTAAAATGTGTAAAATGAACACATAAATAGGTTGAGTAGTAGGAACAAGTACCAACATTCTGGGAAAACAATGGACATATCAGTAGGAAGAATGAATGGACGTATTGGCCCAAACCACTATCCCCAGGTATTGTTTCTATAAAAGTGACTGCTGCTCTGTCTTTCAGGTTAATCTCATTAATGTAGGGGACAATGGTCAGGGACTCACCCCACCGGTAGTGGGATAAGCAGGCCTTGACAGGCCCTGGAGAGCCATCTTGTTCTGGAAAGCCGCAGGTGAGATGATCTGGGCTGAGGACATGGTGGCCATACTCTGCAGGGCCTTGTCTTTGGCAACCTGGTCCTATGGACAGGGACAGAGAGCCAGACAAAGAGACAGTTACGCAAAGGGAGAGCACTCAGACTCCATTTAAGCGCCCCTGCTTTTACTGGTAACACAAGCAGAGCTCTATAAAGGGAAATGAAGGGAGCCGAGGCCAGCTTGCATCATTAGTGAATCAGCGCCAGGCAGAGAGCTGAAGAGAAGGTGATATTACAGCCAGCGGCCTTTTGGTCAAGAGTTAAGTTTATTGCTTTGGCAGGGGCAAGCCTGTGATGACAACTAGCTTCTGTTGAGGTCAAACTGGCAGAGAAGGCAGGGAACCGGGTCATGTGTTAATATGCTAATTATTGCATCAAAATTGCTTAATGCCATTAAGTTTCAAATGGTGAGCTACAAAATGGTGTTTCCTGTCCTTTACTGTAAAGCGATACACCTTGTTTTTGAATCCACCCCTTGTGCAGTTTCCAAACCACAGAGGACTACAAGCACTTGCCGCCCAGCCCTAATGGGCAAGGCCACACGTCGCATTCTTCTTCCCAGAATTGGCTAACACAAGGGCATAGCTGAAATATGGAGGGGGTAGATGTGGTAGGGATCTCAGTTACAGCAAAGACACATTTAAAAAGGTCCGTCACAGAGGCCAACCCTGTGACCGGTGCCGGGCTGCCAGCTGAACCCTGGTGGCCGCCGTCCAAAGTGAGGGAGGGTCCTGTTGCCTGCTGCAAGTATGCGGGTGGACGAGAAATGTAAACTGAGAAAGTACTGGGGGGACAGGGATGTGTGAGCTCTCAGCGTACCGGGAACACTTTTATTGAGGGACTTATCAAATGTAATACCTGGAGGGAATAATGCAGGGATTCATTTGTAGCCTGACAATTGTGTTTTGTTCAACGTGTTCATAATCCTGCACACTAAGCCTTAGGCTTCCTGAAATACGTTCACATTTCATTGAAATGTGTCAGCATCCCACTTAAACCTAGCATCAATTTAGAGTGCGCAATTAAAAATATCCAATCGTTTATGCCTTTGTGTGAGGATGTTGGAATACCTTTAACAAACCGAGGAACAATATAGGGGTAATCATGTGTTCACCCTCGTTCCATCTGTTGCTGTTTTACTTGATTAAAATCAAATAGGCAAAATGCAACATACTAATCACACCCTTAGTATGTTTTGTTCTGGCAGTGAGCAAGGGGAAATCTGTGTAGGATGCCACACATTAAGATTTGCAATTGCTGCTTTGATTAAATCCCCATATCCTTTGTTTGTGCATTAAAATGGAACATCAAGACATTTAGTGAATATAAAAGAACAAAAAGAGGTTGACTCACGTAGCGTACCTTCAGCTTCACCTGGATCTCCCTGGCCTTCCGCCGGGCTAGAACCTGAATGTGACTAGATACCTACAGACAGATAGACACAGAGTTAAACTGTATCTATGAGACATGTATCCAGCTTCTGCAGTGTTTGATTCTTTTTAATATATTTCCACCAGATGCTTCTGTTTCCTTCCATAGATGAATTTGTGAACTTAAATTGGCTAATGGGGTGAGCTGAATATGTGTGATATGACCACGGAGATCCTACTGATCTTGATTCTAACCCTCTCAAATAACTATTGTATTATTATATATAGTTATTATTTAAAATTCATAGCTCCATCTCACAATTCATGTTATGCACTGGAATACATTTGCATTGTAAGTATATAACACTGACTCCTTTCGGTAATATTTTAGTAGCTGTAGCTTTCTCGAGTGCCTCAGATTACTGCTGTTGGACCAGCAGGTGTCCCTCTATCCCTCTAACCTGTCCCATCATCCATCTCTGATCCCTCACTGCCCCCCTTTCTCCTCTCATCTCCACTCATCTCTTCTCATTCCCACACACTGTCTGCCAGATTACTTAGCCGGAACCCTTTCTCTCCACATCCATCACTGGCCCTACATCAGTCCTTCCGTATCAGATACCGTAGTGAGGATAGTGTTCCAAATCCCTGGCCCGACCCGCCTCAGCCTCCCACCCAGATCCCCGTATTCCCCAGCTTCTTTTCCCTTCTAACAAGCACAGATCCACGAGGTGGTGAAGAAACAACACCAACACATGATCCTATGGCATCTGTGCATTGGGCCATAGCCCTAAATCAATCATCATCTCTATCCCTCTATGTAGAGAGGGGGTGAGAAGTCAGGGGTGGGGGTGCCCAGGATATTGGGGCATCACTCAGCAGCAAAATACTTTTTCTGGAGGGGTTCAAAAATAGAGGCTGCTTCGAATGGCATTTGCAGAGAACTTACCTGCTTCCTGGTCCGCGTCTTCCCTGTGCGAAGCTTAATGTACCGTGCAATCAACTCGTTTCGTCCTGTGGGGGACCAGAAAACAGCAGCACGTTAGAATCAGTGATCATTTGAAGGGGGAAGACAATTAAGTCCTTTTTTAAAATGTATTATTAGGAGCAGAAAAAAAATTCTTTAGAGAAGTGAAACTGGGCTCTTTTTTTTAATCAATATCTTATATTAGAATATGCATACACTAGTGTGTTTATTGTCAAGTTTGTACAGTTTTCAGCTGTGCTGGTAGTCTCACTTGGCATTGTATTTATTCTGGATTGTAATCTTTTCATCTTGGCACTTTACAACATTACAACTTAAGTAATGAAGAAATGTCCTTCATGTTTTATCTTATCCCACTTCCAACACATGAACTTGAACTGAAAGTCGGGGGCTAATAAGGAGCACGTTCTAGAAATATACTACACACACTGTATATTTCTGTGCACATATGTATGCAAATACACTGCTGTCATTGAAGTCACCGTCGTATATTAGGTTAAATAAACTGTTCAAAACATTTTTGTTCTCATGTCTGTATATGCACATACTTGGAAGAGTTTGCATGCATGCACGTACAGATGACATGCACACGTGCCTGAAGCAAGATTCAAGAGTGTCAACACTGAAAACTGTAAGTATATCCTCAAGCGTATACATGTGTCTGTGTCAGAGCTTGCGTCAGCCTGACCCTCTGAGTGAACACTGAACTTATCTGTACACTGAGTGTGTGTCTGCGCTCGGCCGCTGTTGACAGACAGGTCACACTGACCGAGCAGGTGGAGATCCTGGGACTGGACTCGACACAGGCCACTGACCAAAGGGGGCCCAGTCTGGTGGGGCAGCTGGTGTGTGTTTCAATGTTTATGGAATATGCCTTTACGCACGCAGTAAATCTTGGGCTCGTTCGTATCCCTCCCTCCCATCCAGAGTCTCCGGTTACAGCGGAGGCCAACGGTCATGGAGCTTCTTTCCCCCAATAACTAAAGCTCTAATTGAATGTCTAACATTGTAAAGAACGCACAAATAGGATGTAGATTGGGGGGTCTCTTACTGTTCTAGTACCCTGTACTTATATTATGGGCAGTATAAAGGGTAGTGGTTATTATACAAGGAATACACAAACCTTTTTCACTCCGATAGTCCTGAAACCTTAAGTCAATAAATTAATTAGTTCATTGGCAAGTCATGTATTGAAAAAAAATGCTACATTTGCTAATTGCAGCTTCTGTAATGTCAGTTTTCGTTTCTGACTATTTAATATAATTATCAATTAAATATCATTGAGTTTGAATCTTGGATGGACAAGAATTAGGTCATATTGTGTTTGAGAAAGTGTAGTCGGTCATTTTGTAGACAGAAAACAACATTAATCTTGTATATAACGTTGAATTTATACATTTAAATGAAAATTATCATTAGTTGTATAGAGAACAGCATGTTTACAAGCGGATACTAATAAAAAGGGAGGACACAGATAAACACGCATACATGAGATCACTCAAGGGAGATTTCTCATGCACCAAACACACACAGTCATACAAGGGTTGGCTTGACTTTGCACCACCTCTTAAACACGGTCATGTTCCCTTGGCAGAGCACCTCCATGTGAATTAACACAGAGATCAGTCACGACACACAACCTGGTACAAACCCATCACATTTTCCCTTACATAGTGACGCTTGGGTCCGACCTCACAACACTTCATAAACCAACCGATCATGCGACCCCATACGGTGAAAAGTGGGAACCTGAAACTTGGCTGAACCCTGTTCAGGACTTTTGTCAGGCCATAAAAGTGATCAGATGTTTCCTACCAGTACTCATGTGAACTGCAGTTTGCTCAAACTATTTCCATGTAATGCTTCTTGATAGCATTTAAAGTTGCCAATTGATATTCTCAGCAGGGCGACATCTATCAGCCAGAAATATGTTCTTTAAACCAGGGTACACAGTATTTAAATCTATTAGAGTAGGATTAGAAAGTCAACAGGGGATATTTAGAGGCATTTTAATGGATGAGTCCAGTTTATTACTCTAGTTCAAGGAAGGCAGGTTATAAGTTGTCATGAACTGGAATTATCCAGTTTGTCTCTACACCTGAAATTGTCTCTCCACCTGAAAAATCCTCATGTATGCAGTACAACACTAGTCCTTTTGATTGTTTGTAATATGGACTTTGTCATCGGCCACGTTTGTTATGCAGCATCAAACAATCAATCCAAGTCATATACATTTAAACATAGTGACATTATATGAGAATGAACCAGTGCTGGTTTGGTGAGCAACAGAAGAAAGAGAGTTTGAACTGAGTCTTGTAAAGTACACACACACACACACACACACACACACACACACACACACACACACACACACACACACACGGAACTGCCATTGTGTGAGGCTTTTGTGGACTTAACCTCTCTCTCTCTCTCTCTCTCTCTCTCTAAGACGCCCTATACTCCAGTTTATACACACAGTGGCACACAGACAGACATAAACTCACACACACTTCAGTTGAGTCGCAGCATTTATTCTGTCTCAATCTTATTTTCTTTTCAGGGCTGTAACTCCTCAACCGTTGAGTGTTTATCGGGAGGTGCACTTGGCAGCTGATTGTTCGAGCCCATAAATGCATATTTCTTTAATTCCCCAGGGATTAAGAAAGTGTTCCACGTTTCCTCGCAATCAAGCTCTTGAAAAGACGAACGGAGAGCTTTGTCAAATTGCTCACAGTACTTGACCTCAAATGAACATTAAGTTGCCTCTATCGTGTTCCTCACGATACAGCAGTACGTTCTTCCAGTTCCCAGCCATTTATCTCCAGGAAACTTCACTGTGTGTACAGTAAAATGTACATTGTGTATCCAATTGGGATTTTCAGAGTAGCACACACAGATGTGAGAGCATGTCTCCACAGACGAATACAAACTATTCATGAATACAGAAAACCTTTTGATAGCCAGACACTTTTTAAACTCTGTTATGGATTTGTACACTTTTACCGGACCCAAGTTGTTGTCTTACTGGATCAACCAGTAAAGACGCTAAAATAAGAGTTGTAAAAGCTGTGAAATACCAAGAGAATAAACAAAAAACGTTCACATTCTACATTAAAAGGTTTTCCATCTCAGGAATAATTACAAACTGTATTCCACTACAACAGAGCAAAGGACAAACAGTTTTGTCAATAGGACGGTATCCCTGCTCTAAATTAGCCTGGTATGTATTGAAAGGATGTAAACAGCTTCATTAATGGGCTGTCAAAGGGGCTTTGCTTCAGGTTCTCGTATCAGATGCCCTGCCACTCCTAGTGTGAGTGCTTGGGGAAGGGCCCCATCAAAAATATCCTCCAACACACCCATGAGATCAGAGAGGGAACTCAGTCACACTGCGATGAGATCATGATATCCAATGAGAGCAGCACAGACAGTGAACTTGTGCCAGCCAAAGCTGCAGGAGAGTTGGTAGGAACATTATACCATCACCCGCTGGTCCACAGTTTGATGTTGTTTATCACACGGCCTGCAGTCACGGACTTGTCTGGGGGAAATATGATTCTGGAAACCTTTCTTAAGGGCATGAAAAGTTGCTGACCCCAGCAGCGGAAACTCAAAGTGAAGTTCAGTGGAGACTGCTGAGTTCTGTAAAGGTACATATTGTCTCAGAACTAAGCAGGGACAATTATTTTGGGAAACCATATCTCAGGGGAGAAAACATCTCCATAATGTCTCTGCTTATCAAATACATATTATTGTTCTTCCTATGGATAGGTGGGTTCAAAACTAAACATTTTAACTAGATAACCTTTTTATTATGATTTAAAAAATTTAATATTACTTCATTTCCGATGAATTAAACTTCAGTACAGATACAGCCTGAAGAAAATCAAAAAATAATAAGATTTTGGTTTGGGAGTCAAAGTGATCTTAAAAGCTATTCAAACACTGTTTCACCAACTTCCCTCCTGGCTTATTTCCACAGGCCTGTTGGCAGAGGTCAGGGAGAGGTGGACGAGGTTAGTAGGGAGAGGTGGGCGAGGTTAGTAGGGAGAGGTGGGCGAGGTTAGTAGGGAGAGGGTGGGCGAGGTTAGTAGGGAGAGGTGGGCGAGGTTAGTAGGGAGAGGTGGACGAGGTTAGTAGGGAGAGGTGGGCGAGGTTAGTAGGGAGAGGTGGACGAGGTTAGTAGGGAGAGGTGGGCGAGGTTAGTAGGGAGAGGTGGACAAGGTTAGTAGAGAGAGCCTAATGTTTCCCTCCAAAAGTCAACCCCTGGGTCTGAATGGTCATAAATCTGCCCTTCCCGCATGGGCCTGCGGTCATCATTGGCCTGGCCTGATCCCTCTCTTCTCAATATCTCCATCTCAGCCCAGTGCATTCCTCACATTCCTAAATACTGACTGGTCCACAGCGGGTCCTGCATTTGCTGCTCTAAAATCACCCCTTGTCCTGTTTTCACAACACCACATATTTGCATGAACCTATAGAAACCATATCAGTGATTAGTCAATCACACATTTCAACACTATTCAAAAATGATGCCCCTAATTATAATAACTACAATCATCAATCCTAAAAGCAATTTATAACTAATGATTCAGCCATCTCTGTAGAACAACACTGTTCCTTGTATGCGTGCGGCTGTATTTTTTGTTATATTGTGTATACAGCTTAAACTACAATGTGTTCTTACCACATGCAAGCTAGTTTCTCTCAAGGCCTACATTTGATTGTGTGTTCCCGAGTACATTTTGTTTCTGTATGTCTTACTGTACAAACTGCCATCCTTTCTGAAGACACATCTGCCAGCCATAGGTTTCCCCTCAACATATGCCCCACTGTGTCTGCTCTGGAAAACAAAGGTCACATTTAGGCTTCAGGAATGTCTTGGCTGGGTGTTATTTCCCCTCTGATCGAGCCTGGACACATCGTACTGAGCTCTGAAAAGACCTCTATCAAGCCTCCATACCAACAACGAGTCAAAGACCACAGCCGTATAGAGCCAATGATGCAACTTCTGCTGGACCAGCATTAA